GTTTGTGCTCTGTCTTATCTGAGTAGACTTTAGTAGAGGTTGAATTTAAAAACCTGGGATCTTTCTTAACTAAGAAAGCACTATATTAGTCCAAACACACCCCACTATATTCAGTCAACAAGGATTTATTAAATACTTATGTGTTAGCTACTGTGCTAATAGCTGATAGAAAGTAACCTTATTTCACTGAATTTTTTTTCTTTCCAATTTAAATACCCAATCATACTTGGCATGAGCAGAAATATTAAGGATATCTGACCATCCTTTTTACACATAAGGAAAGTGAAGCCCACAAAGACAAAGTGGATTGCCCAAGGTTACACAGGTAATAAACAGTAGGACTGGAATCCAAACCCAGGTCCTGATACCAAATCTTGGGATCTAGCAGCCATTACACCACTTTAAACATGTAGTATTCTAGTTTCATTTTTATTTAAAACACCAACAACTCAGGCTAAATAACTTCCTTTGCTTTTTCACCAAGAGGAGCTGAATCAAATGGAAGGAATACCCCAATATAAAATCATGGATATGTTGAAGGAAAAATTCAGAACTACTGATGTTTAAATAGGAACATTTAGAAAAACTTGGTAATATTTTGATAGTCGGTAAAGGAATTTTTTTTAAATTTCAGAAAACAAATTGGCTAAAGGATACAAATGATTGAATAGATGAGGTAGTACATAAGCTTCAGTTGAATTATAACTTTACTAAAGGTAAATATGAAAATAGTTCCCTAGGACATGTTAATGAATTCCATCCGTATTTGGGTCTGCTTCTGTTAATCTACTGAGGAAAATGTGCATTTTAAGAGTGAACTATTTAAAATAATTTAATAGTTTAATGATAATTTAATTAGTATAAAACTCAAGGCACTTTTCTTCTAGGCTCTACTCCTTCATGAACAATTTATGGGAGACTATGAATGAGAATAACACAGGTTGAGATGGTATGTCTGTGTTACAATGTAGGATGTAAGCTTCATAGCTGAGATTGTTTTCATCTTTGGGTCCCCAGCTGCTAATACAGTGCCTAGAATAAGGTAGTAGAAATGCAAATCCATTAACTGATTACTTAATCTGTTGTTGAATCTAAATCCAAAGGAGTATCTACATTGATGAGAACCTATATCCACTGAAGTATTTTTAAAAAACATAAAATTTAAATAAAAGCATTTATTTTTATTTATAGCTATAATTAAGATTTTTCTAAATGGCTCATATTTCTCAAAATAATCTTTGGCTTCCAAATGGCAACAGAAAACTAACACACATACAAACTGCCTTTTTTTTTTTCCGGTATTAAAAAAATAAATATTTTGCACCAGAGAAAACAACTCAGGTCTGTGTAACTCCTGTATGTATAAGTTTAATATAAATTGATGTTTAGGTTTTAAATGCAGGTGAAACACAGAAATTCACTAATATTACCAACATGTACAAGATTCAGAACACTAACATATTTGCTAAAAAAAAAAAAAAAAAAATAGCACCTTTTCAGCTAAGGGAACCACAAAGCCCTTAAAAAATGTAGTCAGCACGTAAGATTACAAACACTGTTTATTCCCACATTAAGGTTAGTTTTCCTATTAGACATGGAGCCTGAGATTTTACTTGCTAAACTATAAAACATGTGGGAGGAATTAAAGGGATCCCAAAGCACATGCCTTGGTAATGTAAAAATGTCAGTCATAAAATGAACATAAGAGTATTGTACGAAAGGTTTCAATAGTTATAGTTTAGAGAAAAAGATCAATCCAATTTTTAAAACATTTCTAGATATTACATGCAAATCAGTATTGGCTCTCCCATGAACTTGAAAGCATTATTTTGTACTGGTATCCTAGATGCCTGAGGTTGATAACACGAAGTCAGAAACCACATACCAGCAGCTTCTCACCCCATTTGTGCTGCATAGTTCTTCCTTGAGTATGAGTGAAACCAGTGGATGGTCAACGCACGGAAGTGTAAGAGATTAGGAGGGGAACAGGAAACATGCTGATACAAAGGTCATCAGTGGGGCACATTAGGAACCAAGCAGCTGTTTGATTTAAATGTCTCTTACAGTGAGATAGAATGCTTGTGACGTCCTTATACAAGGCACAGGGATTCTTTCAGCAGCTCAATTGCTTATGTGAATACCTCTGACCTTGTGCAGTCAACTCTGGGGTAGTAAGTCAGTGTGTTGAGAGTTCCCACTATCTGTTCCTCTTTCAGAACAGTAACCATTTCACTGTAAGTGGATAAGCTTTCTCAGCATATCTGGGTCTTCATTCAATTTCTACTGTGTTATTGTTACTCAACTAATCATAAAACCTGTTCTCCTCCTCCTCAAAGGAAAAAAGACCAGCTCACAGGCTATGAATGTAAAGAGATTCAAGAATATAGGCAATCACTAAATACATTTCAATAAGGAAAGAAATGATTTACCCAGTATTCCCCTAAAATACCCTCTTGACAAGCATCTTTTGTCTCATCCTCTTCTTACTTATCCCTGCTACTTATCCCAAGTGATGAAGTAACAGATGAAGTTTACAAGTGTCTGAGACAGCAGCCAGCCAAAAGTATATGGAAGAGCATAAGATTTATCTTTTTGAATTTCCACCTTTGATCTACATAATGTGACTTCTGTATTCATTATTGCGATTTTCAACATATATACAATATGGGGGAGGGAGGGAAGGTCAAGCAAACAATTACAGCAGTAAAATACGGGGGCTCCAGTTCAAACACAGAAGTCTGGGATTTGGAGAAAAAAAGAAGCGAATGGGTTCAGAATATGCAACCTCATTACCAAAAGCTACCAGAGGATGTGACCCAGTATATCAAGATACATCAGGCCTGAGCATCCTACATCCTTGCTGCCTCAAATACCATTCATTCTATTAAGAGTTCCTGATAGAGGGGTATATTAAGAATTCTTTTGTACAGATAAGATAAAAACACTAAAAGGGAATCAAAACCAAGAATTCATTATTACTACTCTCATACGGCTTTCAGGAACATCTTTCATTCACCACACCTCCATATACTGAGTGAGAGGGAAAAAATCTACAGATCTGGTCCCAGCCTCTGCAGCTCAGTCCAATTCAGTGGGAGATGTCGGCATCATGTAAGAGAACAGAATTTGACTCAAACGCTCTTAGTTATAACGTAAACACAGTAGAGGAATCGTGCACTGACTGAAGTGCAGTAGGCAACATCTAAATAGAGTAAAGTCATGTGGTAGAGTTTGCATAGTTAACATGTTTAGAGCTCTCTCCTTAACCAAGGACCTCAAATTTTCAGTATTATATGTACTTATTTTACTTAAATATTATAATTAAACCAACCCCTCCACCTTCAAAAGAGTTCATACTAAATCAAAGTACTTATCTAATAACAGACAAAATAATTATTATGAGAGAAAAGTGAATCCCAATTCTTCCCCCAATCACATTAATGTTAGGTCATTACATTCATTTGGACTGTGTCAACATAGCCACAAAAGTGTAGTGGATTCTCTCATTCCTCTGATGAACATCCCAATGCGGACAGTTCAAGATCACACAGATAGGTTTTTTAACTTCAACTCTTCCTTCTAGGACTGTACAAATAGCCACTGTTATTTGTCATTCATAATCTGAGACGGTCTATCATGCTTCCAATTGAACTAATTTAAATGACATCATCAGCAAATCCACAAACTTGCCCAGCTCACCAGGTGTTGCTCTATTTTTAATGTAAAAGCAGTACATAACATAATTCCTATGTAAAATTTTAGCATGTCAGCTTTGAAAACTAGATCCGATTTACTCTTTAGCCCACATCCCACGGAAAGAAAATATTGGCAGTAGGAGCTCCCAGTATGAGATATGTTGAGGGGAGAGAATGCCACCAATGGCAGTACTTCAATTAAAAAGCACCTATCATCACAAAATCAAGCTGAGAGAGATCTTAAAAGACCACTAGTTCAACTCTCCTTTTAAAATACAGGAAAACTGAGCTTTAAAGATTTGACCAGGGTCACATTTAGGGTCACTGACGCAGAGCTGGAAGGAATCTCAAAAGATATCAAATCTAAACCCCTCATTTTACAGAGAAGGAAACTGAAGTGGCCAAGGTAAGTTAGGTGATAACCCAAAGTCCCACAGTTTGAAAGTCAAAGCTGAGACTTGACCCCAGGTTGTCTTACTTGTGTTCTTTCTATAGCCACATAGCTTCTGACCTAAATAAAGGTGACGGACTAGTGTCTTCCTTCTGAGATTACCCTCCATTTGCGCTGCATATATCTTGCATGTACATTATTTCTATGTTATCTCCCTCATTAGACTGTAAGCTTCCTGAGGTCAAGGACCATGTTTTTGCCTTTCTTTGTATCAGTACTTAACACAGTGCCTGGAATAGAGTATGTGAATGAATGCTTGTTGATTGATGTATTTGAGGCTACTCTGAATGAGCAGTAACCCCAAAGAAGGAGGTTATATATCCTACTAACAATTCTATGGTGTTCTCTCCTCCAACAGAGCTTTCTAAAATGCTTTCAATACGCTCATTTGGACCCAGTCCTTAAACTTCTATGCTGGGGATTTTATTGGACTTCTATGCTGGGGATTTTATTTTTTTGGTCCAGAACTGAGATTTCATTATTGTGGAAAACTCGTAGTAGTGGTCCCCCTACCAATACAGATCAGCAACTCATCATTAACTTAAGAGTCTTGGAGAGACCCCTGGAGGACTGAGATATTAAGGGACTTGTTCAGTCCCACAATCAGTATGTCACAGGCAAGACTTGAACCTGGGTCTTCCTGACTTTGAGATCAACTCTCTATTCCTTATGCTATGCTGCCTCTCCTGTTACAGATTGTTTCAAAATACCTTTAAGAAATATTTCAACCCAATTTTACTCCCTCTGTATTATGCAGAAGAAAACACCAGAGGTATAACAAGACTAGGCAGAAAGAGACTTACTACCAACATCCCAACAAATGCATTGCATAGACAGGTTACTTCAAAGACTCATTACTAGAGGAAAATTGTTTACTCTCTCCTTAAAAAACAAATTACCAATGTATCATGACAGGGGATTTGACTTGAGATTCTCCCAAACCAGCCCCAAGATGGCACAATACAGAATATTTTGCTTTATTGAGGACATATATTTTACACCTTCCAACAGGTGTGTTATTCTGAAGGCCTCTGAAATTTATTGCCTTGGAGGAGGAAGAAAAAAAAGCTTATATACAATGTTAATCCTGATAGCAAACATTTAGGCTTTAGGACACCCCAGAGAGATGTTGAATTCAACTCAAAGAGGATGAAGAAGTCTCTTAGACCACTCTAAGCAATATTTCAAGCCACAAGCCTAACAAGTTTCTCTCTCTTTTGATCTCTTTATCACAAACTTGTCTCCTCACATACTCTGACAGGGATATTATAATGCCTGTCATCCTCAGCAATCAGAGTCACCACAGGCCAGTCCTTGGGTGGATCTGTAGGATAAGACGTGATGAATTCCTCAGTGTTATACTTAGATAGTCGATAAACTTGTATGGTGTGATGTACCGCATAGGCAAGAAGAAACATTTCAACCTAGAGTAAATAGGAAAGAATTTTTTTTTAGTGAAGCTAACAGCGCAACCTTGAAGCATAACAGTAACTTTAGAGATGAATTATTTCAAACAAATGAAGAAAATAGAAATCCAAAAAGCCAGATAATCTCTAAATAGCTAATCTGGCTTGACCCTTATACTCATGTGTTCACTATCCTCCACACACCGTCCTCACCTTTTTCTACCTGGTGGTGGCAAAGAGATGGTACAAGGTTACAATAACACAACTCCCATCCTAGAACCTCCCCAAGTCTAGTCTACCTTCCAAAGCAGTCTTAAGGAGGAAGACAATCTGATTGAATTAAATGACACTAGTAAGTGAATGACCAAAGACTCTTCAGTATTTGGGTTTTTTTAAAAAGAGGATACTTATAAAACTTAAATGACCTAGTTAGTAGAATTTCAGGCAGAGATACCAAAAAGATGTGAAAAATTTCAAACATGACAAAAGAAAATTTGGGGAATGACTATGCCAGGCCTTCTGGGAGTTTCACCCTTGGGTCAAGGCTACTGTCTGTGCCTTCTTTTCACAGTGTTTTCCCTCGCTCTACTTCTAAGCAAGAGAGTCTATAAATGCTCCAAGTTTTTTCACGAATGATCCTCTGTGAACTTCGGCAGAGGTTACAGAAAAAGAAGGAACGGTCATGATGATATGCAGCAGCTGGGTGGTACCGTGGAGAGAGTGCTGGGCCTAGAGTCAGGAAGACTCATCTTCCTCAGTTCAAATTTGGCTTCAGATACTTCCTAGTGGCGTGACCCTGTTTGCCTCAGTTTCTCATCTGTAAAATGAGCTTGAGAACAAAAAGAGCAAACCACTCCATGATCTTCGCCAAGAAAACTCCAAACTGGATCATGAAGAGTAGGACACGACTGAGTAACAACAAAAGTCACAATGGTCTGTATGTATGGGTCATAAAGAATTGCCTGTATTTGGCTTAATCATGTTAAACAGAATCATTATGTGTTTGCCATTCATAAAGAAAAAGCCTAAAGTTTCATTCAAAACATCCTATACTAATAATGCTGCTCTTGCAATTTTTAAAACGGTGCACTAGTTTTGGATCTACTAAATCATTCCATTACTAAGAGTCTACACTTGAGCTCAAGATATCACCAAGTACCAGAAATCAAAGAGTGGTCTAATAGGGACTTGGCAATGTGACGAGGTGAATTTAGATAGATTTTGAACAAACAAATCTGATTTTTCCATTCCCAGATTTCAATTTTAAAGTTTGAAAACAATGCCAAGATAGTACACAGTTTTGCAAGCCAAAAAAATCTGTCTAGCAAAATCCAGGGAGGAGGTTTACTTGTATTTTAAAAATCAATGATAACTCATGTGGGCACCTTTATCTATCTATTAATACTAAACACTGTTTTGTCCAAGGAGTGAAACAGCAATTTTTCTTTTTTTTTTCCCCTACTGGCAAGGAATGCCAATATGAGGGGTAGCGGCTGCTGAAGATGGCAAGTATGAAAACCACCATTCATCTCTAGCCACTGTAGTGCCCCGAACTATCCTGGCATTTGGATTTTGTCCCAGCCAAGTACATTGCAATAACCAGAGAAATGAGGGTTTGAAATAAGATCTCTTTATCAGAATTTTGAATAAATGCCTGATTACTTTTTAAAACTAAACTGCATGCTTGGTGTTGAAAACTTATTTTTTTGAATGACAGAAAATAACTTTTTAGGCTTACTGATGGGTAATGTGTAGTTTATACCATACCCTAATGTGGTTTGTGGAGCAAAGGGCCTGGCAAAAGGACACACTGTATGTGGTTTCCAATTAAAGGAGCCAACTTAGCAGAGTTGTAAAAGGCTTTGCAGCCTCCAACGTGGAAAAATAAACAAAACAGCTGCCAGAATAGGGTCAAGATAATCTAAGGTTACAAGACCATTTTGGCCAGAGAGACTAGGAATAAGACATGTATTTCAAGAGTTAAATTTTTACTAGCAGCCTGACACTGTCAAGTCTATTGATTTTAGAATGTTCCCCAAGATACCCCTGGCCTGAACTTCCCTGGGGCCAGGACAGCTTACCTGCTCAAGGCCGCCAGAGTGGCCCACTTGATTCAAGTGATTCCTCAGTAGCTGAGCAGGGTCTCCTGAGGTGTCTCGAGCAAACAGAAGCACAGAGAAGAATGGCACTTCTTTTCCCTTCTCTTTATCATTGTATAGTTGAATGGCCTTGCTCAGCATCAGAAATTTCACAGCTTCATAGAGGCTATATTCTTCCTCTTCATTTCGGAAGAGCTCATCACAAGCCACCTGCCTCTCTTCTGCAGTTCTCATTGCAGTCAAACCTGCCCACTACAGGAGGATATAATCACAAATGAGTCAAATGCCTTCCCAGAATCCATGTATACTCAACATGAAGGAGGACAGGATCACCCTCAGAATCTATGGCAATGAGTGACATATGAGAGGCAGATAAAAAAGGTATCATCATAGGTTCATGACTTCAAGTCAGCATTAAAACAACAGCTGACATTCAGTCTGCAAGAATTCTAAATGCCAGATGTTTACATATGGTTCAAACAGGAGGTTAATGAGGGGAAGTAGTATCAAGCTTAGGGAGTGGAAGTATGCACCTCCCAGAATCACTGGGGCTTCTAGGTAGAGCTCTGAGCCCAGAGTCAGAAAGACCTCAGCTCAAATCTGGCCTCAGACCCTTACAAGCTGCATGACCTTGGACAAGTGTCACTTAGCCTGTATGCCTGAGTTTCCTCAACTGTAAAATGGGGTAATAATAGCACCTACCTCCTAGTTGTTGTGAGGATCAAATGATATGCACTTAATAAATCTTTCTTTGCCACTTCCCCTTTCTTCTTTATTTCCTTTCCTTCCAATGCAACAAGGATGAACCAGTCTTACAAATATTGACTGAGCAAACAGAGATAGAGAGTGCTGTGCTGATATGGCTAGAGGCATCCTGAAGAAAGCTACAGGAGGTGGCAGCCAGGTGGCACAGTGGATAGAGCACCAGCCCTGTAGTCAGGAGGACCTGAGTTCAAATCCAGCCTCAGACCAAACACTTGACACTTACTAGCTGTGTGAACCTGGCCAAGTCACTTAACCCCAATTGCCTTTAAAAACAAAAAAAAAGAAAGAAAGCTACAGAGAGCTCAAAAATAAAAACTGACACAGAAATACTGATGACTTGCATACTTTAGCAAAGGAGAACAACTACAGGGTATTTGTCTTCCCAAAAGTAATTTTCTCATTTTAACCTTCTGGCCTTTGAATAAGTATGAATTAGATGCAAATGCTCAGAACAACAAATTAATTTTTACTGAGCACTTACTATACACAAGGCACTCTGCTAAGTACTCAGTAAAATTCACATTTGTTCCTCTGAACTTTTAAATAAATCAGAAAAATCCTTCTGGACTGATGCGCTTCAATTAAGAAGTGAATAAGATGTGTTAACATTCATTTCAGTTGTTAGGAACAGACTTTGGTAAATATCTGTTTCCAAAAAATAGAAAAACTGTACATTTAAAATAAATGGGGGCAGCTAGGTGGCACAGTGGATACAGCACCAGCCCTGGAGTCAGGAGGACCTGAGCTCAAATCCGGCCTCAGACACATAACACTTAGTAGCTGTGTGACCCTGGGCAAGTCACTTAACCCCAACTGCCTCACCAAAAACAAATAAACAAACAAAAAAACCTAAAATTAAATAGAAATAACAGTAAAACTGTAAGAGGATATTATAGAGTTTTTTCCCATCCCTTGGAAAGCGAGTCTATTTTTTTGGCCAGTAACAGGCTCACTTCTATTCTAACCTTACAAGTACATTAAGAGCTTGGCTGATGATTGATATGGAAATGTTTTGCATGACTGCACATATATAATCTATATCAAATTGCTTGCCTTCTCAGGGGGAGGGGGAAGGGAGGGAGATAATTTGGAACTCAATTTTAAAAAATGAATGTTAAAAAATTTTTGTTTACATGTAACTGAGGACAAAAATAAAATAAAAATTAAATGTTTAAAAAAAAAACTCAGCTGGTCCATAGACAAGAAACATATAATCTGTTATTAGGTCCACACTCAAAGCCTTTTTAAATTGTAGGGGTCTGCTGGAGCTTGTGCTCAGTCAGCACAGGCTTTGAAAAGCCACAGTCACCTTTAATGAAGGAATTCCTGAGCATCAGTCAGAAGAAATCAGTCAGGCACTTTATGTTATTTAACTATGTGTAGTGTGTCTGACCAAGGTTACATGTGCAGGAGACAGAGGCAGGATTAATTGATAGACTCATCTCATTTGGTTCGAGAAATGTTTATTGGTTTGGACCTACAATTCCATCAAGGTAGGGAGCGCCTTGCTGAGGACATTCCCTTTACCAACAACTGCTCTGCAGCCTGGAGCAGAGAGATTAATAAAGTGATTTGACCAAGGCCACAAAGCCAACATGTACCAGAGGCAGGACCTGAGGCTGCTTCTTCAAACAGGCGACACACACTTCTCATTTAGTTCAAGATATATTTATATTAAAGATAAAAAACTTTGCACGTACTAAAAACTAAAAACTCAAGTCATTCACAAGGAATAAAAGTTTAATTACAGTTGGCAATTCCAAGAAACAACTATCAAGTTTACAAAAGCTAAAAGAGGTTGGGGGGTAGGGAAAATGAAGAAAAACACCACAGATCATACAAAACTGACGTTTCACACATTAACTAAAGGGAACATGGGCTTTGTCCTCAGTATCTTCTACAATATCTGTATTTGTCAGATAATAACAACTCAGTGTTTTATGGAAACTTGTCTCTTTCCGGGATACAAAAATATAACACACTCTTTTTCCCCTGAATATTAGAGAAAAGCTGCAACTACTGAAATATGATACAATGTAATGCAATGTAATACAATATAATATACACTATATATCTGTATGTAAAGATATATATAAAAGCATTTATTAAAGACTTGCTATGTCATGTGGCAGGCACTGTGCTAATCTCTACAAATAAAGACAAAAAAACGGTTCCAATAATCAAGGATCTTATAATTGAACAGGGGAAATAACATGCAAATATACCATATGCACATGCATGCACATATTTGTGTATATTTATGCAAAAGAGATATAAAGTAACATGGAATGGGAAGGTACTTACAAATGGAGTGAACAAGTGCCTTACGTACAAAATGGCATCAAGCTGTATCTTGAAAGAAACTAGGGGTTTCCAGGGGTAGAAGTAAAATGTATTCCATGGGGAAAATACAGAGATGAGAGACAGAATGTTGTGTTTGTGGAATAATAAGGACAATCTGTCTGACTGTGAAAGATGGGAAGGGAAATAATATATACAGAGTCTAGAAAACAAGCTTGGCCAAGTAGTGAAGGGTTTTAAATACCAAAAGAGAGTTAATATTTTATTCTAGAGGCAAAAGAGCAAGAGTTCTAAACCTATGGCCCATGAAATTTTATTTTCAGTATTTTGATAAGTATTTCAATACAATTAGCTTCCTTTGTAATCTTAAGTATTTTATTTTTTGCACTGAAAAACATTCATCTGAAAAGGGATTTGTAGACTTTACCTGATTGTTAAAGGGGTCCATGACACAAAAAAGATAAAAGAACCCGTACAACAGAAAGTGACAATCAGATCTGCACTTTAGGAAAAACAATTTGGCAGTTGTGTAGAATACACATTAAAATGAGAAGAGACAAAAGAAGTATATATATGTTTACATCTAATCTATCCATCTAAGGCTTCAAGAACTTAGAAGACAAAGATCATGTGTTAGATTTTATTGTATATTCCTCAGTGCCTAGTATAGTGACCCTTTCTACCCCTCCACCCACACAGTAAGCCTAAAACAGGTTATTTATTGATATATCATTATTGAAACTGCTCAAAAGAAAGCAATTTCATGGTCAAGAGTTTAACAGTATTCTCTGGTGGAACAAAGAAAACAGATGGTGGATAATGGAAGTTACTTTGAAGGCTAAGCAAACTTTTGAAAGCCAAGCTGTACTTTACAATTCCAAAAATTCAACTAAATTTTACACTTCAATGGATTTGTGGATCTTGTTAACTTCTTCTAATGGTGAAGATCATAATCCAACCATCCATGATACTTTTCTCATCCTGTGTGAGTCATAAAAGATCCACTGCATTTGTATTCTAACTCAATTTCATAAATTCAATAAAACTCAAAATGTTTTTCAAAGGACAAGTTACCAAACAATTTATAATAAAGCAAACTTTAGAAAATGGAAATAGAGAATTTTTACTCAACAGAAACTTAAAATCTTAATGTAACACACAAGAATTCTCGAGGAATACAAAGTCAATTTTTACTTCATATCATTTGGTAAGACTACCAGTAGCAGAGGCTGGATAATAGCCATGAAATGATGATATATGGGTTTTCCCAAATTTCTTTTTGGATATTCCTTTGTCATGTAAGTAGCCCAGTTTACAATTTAGCAGGACACTATACATGCCATTTGTTCTGAGAACTGCCACCTCAATTTTATAAATAGTCTAAGTGACAAGTTTCTGAATTCATGTAAAATAATTTTGCTGATACTTGGAACTACTAAAACATTTCTCTATAACACTTATGTTTTGTTTCCATAGCTATCAGGTAGGAAAAAAGAAATGGAAGACTTGGGAGGTAACCAAATGGAAAAAAATCATAAATCAAGATAATGAAAATGTTGCAAACCTTCTTCCTTAGTAGCGCTAAGGATTCTTTAATTTTGTCTCCCAGGTCCTCTCCCTTTCCATCAAATTTCAGTCCAAGTTTCCACTGCTTGATCCAGTTATATCTGCTTATTAGTTCCTCTGGCAACTATAGTATCAAGGAAACAGAAAAATAAAGGTGTTAACATTCACAGAAGTCCACAACTATCTACCACAAAAAGAAAAAAAAAAATTCACAGTTCATTGGTCTCTTCAATCAATTCAAACTCAGCAAAGACCACCTAAATCTCCATGCCACCATATCCCACCCTTTCTTGGGGCCTTGAACTAAAAATCTGGGAGGGGATATTACAGATGTTTTAGATGAAACCCAAATATGCAAACCTGTGTGATTATTCTAAGAACCGTCTGGGAAATTCAACAGCAATTGGCAGGAATAAATCAAGACCTGGGTCAACATTCTTTCTTTCAATGAGGTATCTTTATAGAGATCATCTGAAGGCTTTGGGAGGTCATTTGCAGATAGAATACTAATGACTGACCTGCCTTAGCAGGTACTTCAGGATAAGTGGAGTGTTAACTATTAAACTATTTACTATTAAAAATGAGGCCCTTGCTATTGGAAAAATTGTTTTGCTATATCATATTAACACAGACACTCAGGCTTTCGATATCCTAGTACCTATGAAATTATATATCTAAGAACCTGTCAGATCAATCAATCCAACAACAATTTTAAAAGCACCTGTGCTGAGCATTGGGAATATAAAGACAAAAACTATACCGTCTCGGCCCACAAGGAACTTACATTCTAACAGGAGATATACACGAATATATAAAAAATTTATACAAAATAAATATATCAGGAGGAGAGGAGGATCAAGAAAGATTTCACACAGAAGTTGGTCCTTGAACAAAGTCTGTATATATCTTGTATATCATACCTATTCAAATATGTGTTATATCCCTCATTAGACAATAGACTAGACTCTTGAGCAAGATCTACTCTGCCTTTCTCTGTATCCAAGCACTTTGCAAAATGTCTGACACACAGTAAGCACTTTAATACACACTTGATAATTGATTTTTAAAAACATAGATAAAATGACTGATGGTATGAAAATACACACATAACGCAAAAATTGTACATGGGATTAAAAGAGATGTCCAATGGCTGAAGGATTAACAGCTGAACTACATTATCCTTGCATTTTTTTTTCCTCTCTCAGCTCAATGGAATGAGTTTGCAGAACCTAGCTTCTAGTAGCAAGAGAACTGTGGATGTGCCAGAAACCCTAGGGACCTTCAGTGAAAAATCATGTCACTGGGCTGGGGGGAAAATGTGTTAATTCATAGTCACAAAATATAGAAAATAAACTTTGTATCAAAATGAAAGATGCCGAATGAAGATCTGGAACATATACATCAAGTCTTTAATGGAAGAGCTCTAGGATCATTTTAAGGAAGAGGGAGGAAATGAGCATCCATATAGCACCTACTACATGCCAGACCCTGTGCTAAGCAGTTTTACAAATATTACCTCATTTGATCCTCACAACAACTCTGAGGGCAGGTGCTATTATTATCTCCATTTCACAGCTCAGGAAACTGAAGCTGAGGGAGATGAAGGGACTTGCCCAAAGTCACACAGCTAAGTAAATGTCCAAGGACAGATTTAAAATCTGGTCTTTCTGACTACAGGCTCAGCACTCTATTCACTGCACCACCAAATGCTTCTAAAAAAAAATTAGTGACATTTATTTTTTAAAATGAGACACATCCCCCCTCCAACTCTTTAGTTTTTGAAGAATCCATCTAAATCTCTCTAGGTCCATTTTTTAAAATTGCATTTCAGTTTTACCTTTTAGTATGTAACAATGCTAAAGAGATTTTAATACATCCACAAAAACAAAACACAGGGATTTAAATGACATCTCAGTCTTTTCCAAAGTAATCACATATAAGCCAAAAAAATGAAATAAAGTGTTTTTGAAATGTCCACAAAAAAGCAATCCATTAAAACGGTGATCACTAATGAAAATGAAAAAAAAAAAAATCCAAGTTTTCCATTTCATTTAAAAAATTAAACATTTAAGCCACAGAAATGCTTAACAGAGTTTAAGACCAAAAGAATCAATTTATCACATTAGGCAAACTTCTCTCTCTCTCTGTTTTTCTTTATCTTTATAATGTTTTAATAGTTTTATTATAAAAATTTTATCCTTCACTTTAATTTTAGCTCTTAAATTCTGAACTGCTACAGCCATCAAGTGGCAACAATCTGAAATCACAAGTAATAAATGTATACAAATCTTTGAGAATGAACTTATTAAAATAGGCACAAAAAAGAGAAGGAATGATTCTGAATCCAAAGCTGAATATAAACCTGAAGGCAGTGAGAAAACAAGGAGCAGTAAGTGAAGCATGTAGAGCTATTGTTAAAAAATCAAACATGATATCAGAAAGTGGAAATAGTCCCATTATCCCCAACAAAGATGAAACTCTTGCTAAAGTTTGACCAATTAGAAGGCTACTGCAGTAGTCCAAGTGAGAGCTTGAACTAGGGTTAGGACTGTATAAGGGGAGAGAAAGGAACAGATATGAGATGCTATAAGAACAGAAATAAGACATAGCAACAAACTGGATCTGTAGAATAAGAAATTAAGGTTTTAAGAGTGGAAGGATATATTCTCAATAAGAATTGGACAATTCAGAATAAGGATACGTTTCAGGGAGAAGATAGTAAGTTCAGTTTTGGACCTGCTGAGTTTGAGATGCCTACGCAGCATCCAGTTCAAAATGTCCAATAGACAGCTGATGCTAAGGGAACTTTAGCTCAGGATTGAGAGAGAAGCTAGGGCTGGATATATACACATCTTTGAACCAGCTGCATAACCAGAGATTACTGAACTCATAGGTGCTGATGAGCTCACCTAATGAGAGAATATAGGGTATAGAAGAGGGAACAAGACACATCTTTGGGGTACACCTAACAATTAGTAGGCATGATTTAGCCAGCAAAAGAGACAGAGAAGGAGTGGTCAGTTAAGACAATCAAAAGAAAGCAGTATCACAAAAAAACAAGCATTCAACTACGTCAAATGCTATGGAGTAGAAATGAAGGCTGAGAATTGAGATAGAAAAGGTCGTTAAATTTGGCAATTAAGAAATCACTGGTAACTGTGGAGAGAGAAATTTTAAATGAATGATGAAGTTGGAAGTCTGGTTGCAGAGGGTTTAAAAGAGTGGTGGCAAACTCAAATAGAAACAGGAATTACTGAACCATATATAAGGATCCCTAGGGGCACCATATCGACTTAGAAAAACACATTTTAACATTATCTGTGTTCAACTGCATTTTAACTTATTTCATTAAATATTTCCCTGCTACATTTTATTCTGGTTACTCCTGAATGTTGCCAATAACCCACGATGTATTTGAATGTCCAATTTAGAAGTTGTAAAAGTGGAGGCATTGAACAGTTTAGCTAGATCTAGTGATCAATGAGGGAGTTTTTAAGAAATGTGAGAACTGGGCTGTGTGCAGGTGGCCACAAAGGAACAGAGACTGAAGATTAGAGAAAGGAAGCTTAATAGAGGAAGCAATCTCCTGGATGAGACAGGAGAGGATAAGATTAAAGGTTTTTAAAACCCACGTACATCTGCATAAAGAAGACAACTTAAATTTATGAGAAGAGATAAACTCACAGAGACAGAGTAGATTAAAAAAAAAGAGAGATGACATCTTAGAACAGAACCCTAGGGTAGCCCCACACAGAGGAGGCAATACATGCATGACATAGCAGTGTCACAAAAAATGAACAGAAACAAAGGTTGATGTGTTAAATGACAGATAAAGAAGGATGAAAACTGAGAAAAGGCCATTGGATTTAGCAACTAAGAGATCTCTGGTAACCTCAGAATCATTTCAGTCAAGAGGCAGAGAAATGAACTCATATAGCATTATTATGCATTGTTACATGCATCACTGTCTACTAGTTACCTATGTATGCATCTTACCCTACCACTACACTGTAATTTCCATAAGGAAGGAATTGTGGCTAAATTAAACTTTGTATCTCTCTGATACTTAGCACAATACTCTGCCAATAATTGATACCTAAATGTCAGTCAAAATGAATGAAAAAGACAATAAAAGTAAATCTTTTTCCTCAGTTTAACATTATATCACCTCCATTACCACAGGAATACCATATTCTAATCCCCATCCACATTGAACACATAAGACAACATAAATTAGATAGATGTTATCTATTTATCAGCCCAAAATAGACAGCCATTGTCAGGGGGAAGATATGGGGCTCCTTTCTGCTCAATTAAATGAGTATTTATTTATTAATGTGTGGAGAACACTGTCCTACATGCTGGTGACAGAAAGCATAGATATGGTCTCTGACTCTAAATGTACTTTCCTGCCTAATAGAACCACTACTTTAGGTTAATCAAAATCAGAGTATACACTCAAGAGTCAAAAATCACAAACCAAACTTTCAAGTCAGGGAGTAAGCAAGGTCAAGTTACGAGACTGGTCTGAAACACAATGAGCAGAGTAGAGTAACATCAGATGAAGAAGGCACAGTAGCAAATAGGAACCAAGGTCAGGGCAAAAGATTAAGAAGACAAGGTAAAGAATTCAAGGAAATCAGTAAGAATGATTCCAGATCAGCTTAAAAGACAACAAGTTCCAGAGAGGCATACAATCAACAGTCAAAAATACATTAAAGATTATGAAGTCCTACTTATGCTAGCTCAGGAGTCAACCTTTAACAGTCCCTGTCTACCTTCTTCCCAATGGGATCTTGACAAATATGAATGCACTGTTAAGAGATACAACCAGACAGAATGCTGTACACATCACACACTTTGACTTTACAAAATGAGGCTGGTACACCTAATAAAGAGGAATAACACAGTTAGTGATCAGAGGGAATTATTTACTTATCTACTGGAGTTCTCTCTTTGGCAAAAGCAGAGCAATTACAATTTCTTAATGACCATTTCATTACTCAGAAAATGAGGACAGTGATGAGGGGAACTGTCATTCAGGACTCAATTTTGACAAAGAAGAACTTGTTGCTGTAGTAGAAACAATAGGAACCTTAGGAGGAGAGGGCCATTCCATCTAGT